TTATGAATCTGGGAAAGTGGACCTTATATACGTATACATGTAGAATCTAGATGAACTTGAAATGTATGTCAGACATATTTATATATATATACATATAATGACATATATAGACTGTATATAATATGACATGGTTGAATAGTCTGCTTGTTGTCTGCTTGTTGTCTACATCCCAGCTAGACCTCCCCTCGCCCACTCGCCCTCCCGGCCGCGGCGGCCGGATTCAGGCGCCGGCCCGGAGCACCTGACCGATGGCGTCGCGAACTCGCTGAGAGATCGACTTGTCCAGTTGAGTCGGTGGAAAAAGACACCTCTTCCCAAGGAAAGGTTGGTTGATTCGTGAACATCTGTTTTTGTTAACGCTTCAAGCAGCTGTGCGGTACCAGCCGGTAGCCTGCGGGTCCGTGAACCATTCAAAAAAGAGATGTCCAAAACCACCACCTACACCATCCTATAGCCTGAAGATCCGGATGTTTCGGAAATGACTATCACATGAATACCCAGGAAATTCCCTACCCCATAGAAACCCAGCTCCAAAGAGTCCAAGCTTACCTCGCTGGTCTATAGGCGTTTACAACGCAGACGTGTTGGCGACGTGACGTATCACGAAACTCTCTGAAGTGAAAACTTATTGTGTAACCGAGGAAAGCCACAGCGTGATCAATACATTGGTTTTCTCGAGTTCACCCTGTCAAACTCCGAAGACACATGATCACTTGATGGGAAACAAAGAATAATCAATACATACAGTAGGTCATACCTTTTGTAAAGAGAAAGGGACGCCCTTCAATTTGGCGGCTTTTTCTATTCTCATACTTTTGCAACTGTTATTTGACTGGAGCCTTCTCAAAAGATCTCAAAAGCAGTTCTCCGGAACCCAAGACTTCCACGAAACAGTTCCCCTTAGAGATTACATTTTTTCGGGGAGACAGTTGGATGCCATAGGATGTCATAGGGCTTCGGGATTACATGTGTTGAAAGCCAACCATGTTTCTTAAAGCGGTGTCTTTGCAATGCTTGGATCGATTTTGGTGGCAGCGAATGAGTCCACTTTGGACGGGCCCTTACCCTACTTTTTTTTCCCTCTCTCTCTCTCTCGATATATGTATACATACTATGGATTGCTATGGTGTTGTGTTGTTGATCACTAAATGTGAGTGCCAGGCCACAAATTCTGCCGTCTCTGTTTTAAAACCAGTATCCAGCAGGTTAATTCAGAGTGAGCAGTGAGCAATGACTATGATACAATACGGTATTCGTGGTCTGTGACTGCTCTTGCCACGTGGTGGTTTGAAACTGCTCTTACCAAGGATCTAAGAGGAATCCTCACAAACACATTGGACTTGGCTACAAAGCCAGAGTGATCATATCATAACCCTTTTTCTCAGTACATGGCATAAACCTCGGGGTTGCCTCCATTGTGGATGTGTTGCCTCCATAACGGTCGGGGCGGCGGAGCGGACGCAATCCGTCTTTTCGACCGACCGCGAGCGGGCGAAGGAGCGGTCAGCACGTCGCGTCCTGTGCGGCGGAGCGGAGAAGGGTTGCGTCCGAAGCGCTGGAACTGGGGAGTCCGACGGAATAGACACCATTCACAAGTCAGTTTATCAACTCATCCTTTTTTGGGGGGGATGGTATCTATGAAATCTGGGGAGTCTGGAGGATATACCTCTATAGGCACCACTTGAGTATCTGATGACGGGTCTTGACTGAAAGCACCACCGAAGGCTTCGTGGGATGCACGAAAGAATGGGTAAGGATGGTAAGAAGTTTCTCACCAGAGGCATAGGTGTGGTTTACAAGTACGTGCTTCGTTCCTTCTGAAGGATGGTTCACCAAAGGACCATGATCCTTCGGATATCGGAGATTCACAGCTCCATAAACAAATGAATGTCCGATGTTACATGCCCTTCTTAGTCATGTCCACAGCTTGGTCCTGTCACTAGATCTTTGGATATGATCCAGTGATGTCCTTTTGGGAATAGAGGGGTCGATTTGGTGTCATATACCTATTAGTCAATTTGATAACCTATTCCTATACCTATTTGGTATCTTCTACCTATAAACCTATTTGGTACCATACACCTATTGGTATCCCCTCTATGAATCATCCAACCAATAGTAAACGGCCATCTGAGATGACCTCTTCTTTCAACCGGGCCATTGCCCCACGACCTTTCCATCATCACACCTTCCCGCGCTTCAGCGCTTCCTCTCCTCGCTTGTGACCACTTCGAGACCGTCGCCTGGACAAGGGCCGGCCGCGGCGAAAAGCCGGAGCGGTCGGCCGGGCGGAAAACCCAAAAAGGCGGGCGGAAAGCCCTTCCTGTCCTCGCCTCTTCAAGAGGTGCAGCTGAATGGATGATGAAGGCAATTGCAGGCAGTGCATGTTGATGATTCAACTAGTGCTTTGGTGGGTTAAGCATAATGCGCTACAAGGGCCAAAGAGGTGCCAGTTTCAAGAACCTCTTGCTGTGTGGTTTTTGATGAAACAAAACGGGTATTGATATCACCTTCCAAGAAGTGGAAGTTCCTCAAACAAGAAAGGTTGTCCAAGGTTCAATCAGTAACAAATTGACTCTTTGAGGATTATGCAGGTCCACCTGTCCAAGTGGAATTCACAGGCAGGTGTTCGACGGTCAATGCTCACCCGCTTTGTAAGGGCACCAACTCAAGCGCAAATTCACAAGGTCTCTGGGAGGATTCTATAGGGAAAGGATTTATCCGGATGTGGCGTATTCGTGTGTATTCCAGTGCATTCAGGCTGAGAGAGACCCTTTGACAACGAAACTTGTTTCTGCCGAACAACCCTGTTGGTCCCAGACCATCCATGTATGGAATAGTTATACTATACTGTACTTGGGGTCATTTTCATGTGGTAAATGTATGGAACTATTCCAGTCCCATGGATGGTCTGGGGGTATTCATTCTCTTTCCCGACTGCCGCTGTGGCGACCGCTGCTCTGACCTGCGGGCGTCACCGACCGTCGCTTCTTCGAAGGGCGTTCCTCGTCCTGCCATGCGGTCGGACAAGCAACGAATCAGCTAGGAGTAGGCACTGGTGACCCAGTAAAACCTCAAAGATGGATCTAGAACTCGTTTCACACGTGGATCGTTCCTGAGAGAAAACAACGTAAACTATCTTTAAATGTTTCGAGGCTTAGAAAGGTGGATTTTCGGATGTGTTTTGGGGGCATGGTCTTTGCTCAAAGAATGCGGGAACAACTCAGCAGCGATTTGGCTCATGTCCGTCTTCCTTGGCTCAGCACTATTGTTACCAGTCCCCAAATCATATAGCAAAAATACCAATGGTGCTCTCCGTCCCACCAACTTCCAATTCCACATTTTTCTCTACGACCGGTCTGGTCTGAAGGTACCGCGGGTCGCTGCAGGATGTGTGGAAGGTTTTCCCTTTGAAGTGTGGGAACTGAGGGCCACGCAGAGATTTGCCATTTTGATGTCGTCGGTGGAGGGCAAGCTGAGTGAGTTTGTTCAATCAAAGCATTTTGGGAGCTAAGTTCAAGCTCCGTCAGCCACTCAGGATTGCCGCATGTAGTTGATTCGTGTGAGTGTTGAATGTCGACTTGCTAGATTGAGTTGATTTTCTTGCTGTGGCTCCCTGGCTTGCTTGAGGCATGGCGTGGCGCGCCTGTGCGCTATCGCACGCCATCTCGCACATTGTTGCTGGACATCTCTTGCTGTACATCCGTTGCTTTCGTTTGTGTTGGGCACGTTTGGGGCTATGCACATGGATCCATGCTGTCAACCAGAGTGCGATGCAAGGGCTACAGGACCTAGACCTAGAACATGCATGAACATCCTATAGAACTCTTTGCTTGACTGCCCAAGATATCCAAAGATCCTGCTTTTGCCACACTTCTTCCATCCGCCACATCCGCCACACCCGCCACACCCGCGCCCCGCCGCGGGGGTTCCGGCGTTCCCTCCAGGGAGACCTCGTCCTGCGCTTCCTCGGCTTCTCGGAGCTCCTCCAAGCCTCAGATGGTGAAGATGAGAGAAATGATAGATCAAGGAGCCATGAATTGTTGGATGGTTTCAAAGGAATCAACATCATTCCAGCACCACCCAGTTTGGATGGTTGTTGCATGCAAAACAATGGTCAGGCTGGTCAGCAAGCGAGATCTACAAACCACCCTTTTGGGCGGTGCTAGCAGCGCTAGGTTGGAGTCTCAAAAATACCAAGAACAGCTGTCGTCTCTTTGCAGTGGTGGGCGACCTGGATGGCGTGAATATGAAGCTCCAGCAGAACTGGAGGCACATGGGTGTGTACTTTTAATGAGATCTCCAGGCCCGTATATCGAAGCTCTACTAAAGCGGAGTCTTTAGAATCCATCACAAGTGTGCGAAGCATGTGTACCAGCGTGTTGTCAAATAGGGAGACCTCAAAGGGAGACCCCCTGACCCAATGGGTCGTGGTCTATTTCGCTTCTTTTGAGGTCGAACGGCTGTCTATGGCCCACATCTGTCGCATCTGCAAGAGCATAACACCCTTATTGAACTGGTCTTTTGAGAGACCACACAGGGACCAAATTCAAATGCCAAGTTGTTGCGGATCGCATTCGGCAAACTTGTGCACCTACTTGATTCGATCGTCTGTACATTCTGGGCACAACTATATAATGATAGACTATTGACTAGACTATTGATATTTCAACATGTTTCACCCCCAAGGCCTGAAGAGCTTTTACCATCCATGTCTGGGAGGGTTGAATTATCAAGTCATACACATGAAGAAGCTGATTTTTCTCACTCGACTTGTTATGATATGTCAACCCTCCCGGTTCCTGAGCCTTCCTCCATCGATCCTTCGAGGTCCGGTGTCCGACTTCCCAGTCTCTCGACCAGCGGCGATCTTGCAGGTCCTGCCGCACAAGAGAAGCACGGCTTGCACGGCCCCTAGGATTCGGCACGGCTTGCAGAGCTGGTTCTGGTAAATCACCAAAGTAACCAAAGACCATTGGGCAAAGAAACATCATATCCCATCAATTGTCTTCTTTTGCTGATGGATGTAACCCAAACCTCCGAATCCTTCCGAATCCTTGTGTTGGATCTGTCGGATCGACGGATCTGCGGCAAATGTCCACAAAAAACACGAGCCGAACGGCGGAACAGTAGAGAGACATAGAGAGCCTTGCTTTTTGAACCCAGAAAAGGTAGAGAAATGGACCCAGCGGCACTTCCTCCGGGGCGCTCCGAGTCCGTGGGATAGACCGTTCACGTCCACCACCGCAGCATGTGGCACAACGAGCGTTGAGCCAATGCTTTCTGCCGGCAGGGAGAGGTTTGCCCACCAAACCAGTCTCGTCCTGTAGGTCAGCACTTAAGACCTTGCAGGGCGAGGGCCGCCGCTGGGCGGCGGCCAACTTGGCCAAGCAAGTGGCTGGGCTGAAAGAGGAGCCCAGCAAGGTGGACCTTGGCGCTGCCAGCTGATCCATGTGATCCGTCAGGTGCTTCTTCAATGGTGTTGTTCAAACAAGAAAAACTTACCGTTAAGAAGATGTCAACAGATTGTACACACTACAGAAGACAAGATGTTGCGTGCAATTGTCACAATGTATCACGAGCCGCACCAACCCTTTGATTTGTGAGGAATGGAATGAGAAAAGGGTTGGGTTGCTTGCTTCAAGAAGTGTGGGTCAAGACTGTGACTACTCAACAAGCACGATCACAGACTTTAGGCCAACGTCCCCCAAGTGATGACCCGAGGTTCAGCCTTTTGAGGCACCCACCGTGTTCCCTACTCGTGTGCCCTGCTTTCACAAGGCTGAGAAACGTTTTGAGACGGCGTGCTACGAGGCCTTGCTGACCCACCGACAAGTACGTCAGAAACGAGCTTTTCTGTTGGTGAGTGTGTAAGTTTGCTTCTATGACACCATGACAATCACAATCACAGAACCCCCAAATCTGCTCAGGTTTCTCCTTGCCCTTCGCCACGCCGCGAACGGCACGCCCAGGTGCTGTAGGAAGCGAGCAGCACGCTCTTCGGAAGGAGCCCTTTCATCCTGCCGCCGAGGCTTTGTTTCAAAGGGTCCAGCACCACCCAGTTCAGTTCGGGTGGTTATCGGATCGAAAATACATCTTCAGGGGGGTCTCACCACCCCGCCTGTAAACCACCCCACCTGGTGGTGCTGGTTGTTGCATTCATCATGCTCCATGTTTCTTGAAAACCATAGATAAACAGAAGCATATTCTACATATTTATTTGGCGCAAAGAAACAAAAACCTCCTGGCAGAATCACTCTTCAAAACCACCCAGCCTGAGTGGCCCAGAACCAACAGCACCTTCGCTGCGCGTGAACGTTCCAGCACCCGTCCTCGCTGGCTGCTGAGGTACTTACTTCTGCTTCAGCCTCCTCAGCTGCCTCTGCCTGATGAGTTTGGGGCTTGACAAATCAGTTCGTCGGACCTCCACGCAGGCATCTTGGGTCCGATGCAGTTCTGCATTTGGATCTGAGTGGACGGTCAAACTGAATCACGATTGGACTGTCGGGCTACATCAACCAGACTCCTATAAACTGAGGTGTCGGGAATGGTTTCGTTGAATTTTGCCACGGCTCGCGATGTTTGAGCCCTCTTAATAACGCTCTTCAACTGGTTGTCCTCTCTTCTTCTTGGGGTCTGTATTATTTGGACAATGATCAAATCAAAATCCAATGTCCCACGACCAGAGGATTCGTCACATGGGCGTAAACCATGGTACATCGATATACCATGTCACATCGATATACACATCTGGGGTCTAATAATTTTTGGCTACAGACAATCGTTCGGTGTTTCTAACCATAAGACTCTTCCTTTTCGAGCTGGACTACTTCTTCTTTGGTCTGCTACCACTTCGCAAGGATGAAATTGGGGAACCCTTCCAATCCAAATGATCTTCTAAACTATGGTGTTCAGACTCTTATTAATATAATATGTATATATGTATAAATACTCTCGTTCTTCAACCAGAAAACGCCTCCCCCCCGCAATGGACTCTGAACATGAATCTCTCTGATGCTCCTTTACAAGCGGACTTCCTGAAATGTGCAGTCCAGTGAAAGAGATCTCTGCGGTACGGTGGTTCGCTGGGCAGGCTGGGGGCAATCGACCGATTTCATGATTTGATGACGCAAGGGACGCATTTGAGGCACCTTGGGTTTATCTGACTCCCTCAAAGTCTTTCGAGAATACCGGGTCACCGTTTGCCACCTCTGCTTTTGTAGGGAAACAACAAAACAAGCAGGTCTTATGCAGGTGGGCCCCCGACTAGGTATCGGCTTTTCAGTGAAGCAGAGCCCCACGGGTTCGCCTCCGCCAAGGCATGCGCCAAGACCGCTTCGGCCTCGAAAAGCAGCTGTCGCCTGTGTTGCTCTGAAGGATGCGGACTTCGTTGCCATCAAAACAGTATCAATTGGGAGGACTTTGGGTTTAGGGGCTTCCAGTGCGAAGCGATGCGCCTCGATTCAAAGGGTCGCGGGACGGCGCCCGAGACCACCCAAGCCTCTGTAACCTATTGTATAGGGCTTAGACCGTTTCAAGGAAAACCCTGGCTGGGCGGGCCTTTTTGAGGCGGTGGTTGTCCAATATGGAAAGCGAAAGCAATTGCGTAGAATATATATATTTGGTTGCGTTGAAAACTTGAACTTTTACAAGTTTGTGGCTTGCTCATTCGTCATCTTTCGTCGTTAGTTTGCACACTGGCACGGTGGTCTCTGCGATGCGCTTCAGGCTCAGCAGCTGCTTCTCATTCAATTGCTGTGGCAAGTAGAATGGCGAGCACGTGGCCATGGCATATGGCCCCAAGAGGCGAACTTCGGAAAGTGATCCCCCGGATCAGGCCGCGCAGCGGTGTGGAAAAAAATTTGCATCGATGCTCAAGAAGGATCACGGGCTCTGGCATAAGCTTGACCGGTCTAGGCAAGAGGAAGCGAATTTGCCATGCCCCGTAGCACCCTCATGCCTGGACAGCGGTGTCCAACATGCCCAAATCCGTCGCCACGAAAGGCCCCAGCCGCCAGAGCGCCAAACAAAAAGCAACCGGACCACCACCCGCGCATGCACCACCAGCCTGTCCGTCAGTGACGTTAACCCCGTTGAACACATCCGCAACGATGGCCGCCGTTGCACAAGGGGGCTATACGTCACTGAGACGGACTTGCTGAGGAGCAGCGGCATCCGGGCAAACGCCCGCAGTGAACTGACAATTTTCAAAGCGGAGCCAGGAATCTGGATGGATTCAGTGTGGTCTGTAGGAGGAGGTTGGCCGTGGGGCTGCAAACGCAACAGCTCTGTGGCGTAGTAAACGTTGCCGTTGCCCTCCTTTTCGTTGCCCGCGAAGGCTTGCAGCAGCGGCGGCAAATCCAAACTCCCAAATGAATTCAGCCTCGCCGCGCTGAGGCGTCGCAAGGTCAGAGGCTTCCGTGCCCGGTGCTGCCAGCAGACCGAAGAGAGGTGGTGCTGGAGCTCCCGGCCGAGGCCGTCGTGTTGCCTCTCTTCCAAAAAAAATATTAATAGTTTTCAGCTCGCGAGCCACACAGACAGCGAGGAAAGAATATGTATGCCTAACTTTCGCAATCGTGCCCCCAGCCTCGCCGCCCTGGAATTTCACCGTCTCTAGGGCGACCCCAACCCATCCAAAGTTTGGTGGGAATTTAGGCCTGCTGGTCACAAGTTAGAAGCAGTAAACGGTTTATCCTTTGACATGATTGTTCCAGACCTCCTGCCTTACCCTCTTCGGGCCTCTACTACAAGAAGACCTATAAGCACAAAGAACATGAGGCATCTAGGAATCAAGGGCGCCGAAGTCATCTATACTTGATCTGTTCATATGCGGTATATCGTCCGACTCCGCAAAAATGAAATCGGACGCATTGGTGTTGCGTCCGACCCCGCTCCGGAAAGCGTCCGACTCCATTCTGGCGCAGTCGGACTTTTATGTACTGAAGGAGAATGAACATTTATGTCCAGAGGCAACGTTTTACTTTTTCCCTGCCGCTTTTGCTGGAAAGGTCACGGGCAATATTTTGCCCAGGCGTCCGCCGGAAGCATGGTAAGTAAGGATTATGTATGTATGTATGCCTGTCTGTCTGTCTGTATGTCTGTCTGCCTGTCCGTCTGTCTGTCCGTCTGTCTGTCTGTCCGTCTGTCTGTATGTGTGTATTGTATTGTATTGTTGTATTGTATTGCAATGTAATGATGGTAAGGTAATGTAATGTAATGTAATGTAATATATTGCATGGTATTGTATTGTATTGTATTGGTATTTGTATTTGTATTTGAATTTGTATGTGTATTTGTATGTGTATTTGTATTTGTCTTGCTTTGTCTTGTCTTGTCTTGTTTTGGTATGTATGTATGTATGTATGCATGCATGCATGTATGTATGTCTGTATGTCTGTATGTATGTCTGTATGTATGTATGCATGAATGTATGTATGTATGTATGCATGTATGTATGTATGATTATGTATGATTATGTATGTATGTAGCCGCAAGAGACATTTTTGAAGGCAAAGTGATTCACAAAAGGCGGCTTTGAAGGCAAAAAATGCCGGAGAAGTAAAGACTTCACAGGTGCGAGAGGCCTTGGGCTTTAGGATATCCTAGTATAAACTAAATAAACAATATAGACTAATTATATTAGCGCACACTGCACATGCACCCTTTATGTAAGGACACAGATGCGGGACGGAGGACAAAGCTAACTCTTTGTGCTCACCTTGTCAGGCTCCTTCATCTCAATTCTTTTCAGTGCTCGGCACTCGGCGTGCGGCTAGCGCTCGCGATGTTCAAGGCTGCTCAGCGTGGCGTACAACATCGCTCGCTTCCAGTTTAGGGTTTAGGGTTTTCTGAGAGAGGAGAATCAGATCATCTTGCGATGTTGGGAGGACTTTGGGAGGGCTCGGGGAGAATCATCACTCATCCGTTGGGAGGAGATCGCCTGGCCTCATGGACCGTCTGTAGAGGAGTTGTCGTGGAAGGAGAACGCAGTCCAGCAAGTTTGATTGATTGTGTGTGGCTAAACACGATCCAGCAGAGTTGGAAAAGGAATAAATGAACAAAGCCTCTGGCTTCTGGCTACAAACATCGCCATGATGGTCAAAGCTGCTTCAGAGCTCATGACCGGCAAATGCCGAGCAAAGGCACGTTTCAAAAAAGATCATGCTTTTGTGGCATAATCCCCACTGAGCTGGCGGGGCCTCGTATTCTGGGTTGGCCCACGAGCTCAATCCCAAACTTCAAACTATAAGGAGGGATCATGTGGAGACCGTGCAAAACGAAACAATGCTACACGGGCTACACACAGTGTTTCCAGAAGCTGGCGATAGGTTTCCTGGAAAAGCACAGTTAAGCCAAGTGTTGACTGACGGATATGACATGACGCGTTAAGCCCAACTTGGCGGCGGCGCCTTGCGAGCCACTGTGCCAGTCTTCTTGCAGCCTGGACAGGGCCCCCTGAGGTCTCAGGAGGGGCCGGAGTAGGGGCCTAACTAGGGGCCTATTGGAAGGCACAGAGTCTTTTCTGGGTGAGTTGTCAACCATCCCTGTATATTTGATGTTAAGATTCCCAGTCATTGAGGTGAACAATTTTGTTTCAAGAGGTCTTATTAAATTTGGCTTTCCAGCCGAAACCGGGTGTCAGTTTCAGTGCGATACCTGGTCTCGATATGTTGAATGTGCTGTGTTCCGTTTTGACTCCTCCCAAAACTCAGACGTACTATTGAGCTCAATCTCATATATAATATATATATATATATATGTGTAATTACACTTGTGCCCTATAATGTCCTGTATATGTATATTTGGCAGTGGATAACGGATAGCAGCCGATAGTCCCAAAGCTCTACCAAGGTCTTCTTCCCACCGCTCGCTCCTGGACTGCTCGTGGGTGAGAGGCGCCCAGGTTGACCGTCTCGCCCTGGCGATACGGGCGCTCGCGCGCCCTGGCCTACCCGCCACGAGTCGGCTGGTACAGTAGGTTGAAGCCCTTCGTTGAAGCCGGTGGAAGGATCATAGCATCATGTTCTGCTTGAGCATGGTTTGAGTACGGTCATCGTCACAAAACTATTACCTTGTATACACGCAAAGAAGTAGCAAACAGAATGAACTGCCTGGGAGGTCAACCTAGCAGGGTGCAACGGGCTCCATTTTTGGACCCATATACTCATTATATTCTCACTGTGAGATCTGTGAGTATAGTTCCTACCAAACACCTTTTTGGCGCACCTGGTTTGGCCGCTACGAAGCACCCTGGTCCCGAGAGCGATGTGATGAAACCAGAGCGACACCGAGCGATGAGCCGCACCTCCCAGAGACTCCGAAGCACTTGGGCCGCCAGGGCTTCTTCGTCCCCCTGCGATCCGCATGGGCTGTCCCTGATCCCCGCGCGCATGAAAACGTCGTGTGTTCAAACGCCGCGCGTGGGGGATGAGTGAAAAGCGCGACGAAGGCGAGTAGCTGTAACGTTTCGCAACGGATCCTAAAGATGAACTGTTGGAACATGTTGGAACTTCCAAATCCTCTTTCTTTTGAATTGAAGAGAAGCACCCTAAGGCTATAGCTGAATCGACCTCGTTGAACCAAACTAGACCACGCCTGTAGCAAGGGTAAGAGACGCTTCCCCGAGGCCATGGTGCGGAAGTGGGTCGCGCCCAGCTTTTGAGCGCGGCCCTGCCAAGAGGCCTGAAACGACGAGGGCGGTTTCTACGACTGCTACCTCTTAATCTAGAGTCAAGATCTTCTGGCACAAGATACCAGAAATTGCGACCTGAACATGTTCAGGATCTCCATGGATCCCCCCTCAACACACCAAAATCTTCATTGGAGACATGCGGTTCCTTTTGCCCTCAGTGCAAGTATTCACTCCTTGTGATCAAAACGCTGCTCAACTTCTGGCGGCTCCCACTGAACAGAATATAGTCTAGGGGACTCTTCAAAGGCTGTGGCTTCGTCTACAATGGCCTTTCAGGTCAGTCGAACCGTTGCCTGCAAGAGCTTCTTGGCCTCGTCGATTTCGTGCAAATCCGCCAAGGCCACCTGGGCTTAGAATTCGGACCGGCCGCATTCGCCAAGACCGGGAAAGATGAAGGTGCTTCAGGTTGGCGACACCCTACCCATTGTGTGGCAACCCTACCAAGCATACTGCCTAGTCATCTTCACTGCCAACACTATGCCATCAGGACTTCATGTTTGTTTGAGAACCAAGTGCCCTGAGAGTGTGCTAAAGTAAGTAGAAGCGCTTTAACTTCATCTGTGTTACCTTTTCATTCAATCTTCAATCTGTCTTTCCACACAGGATCCTGCTTCTTCCAAACCGTTTGTTTTTGCCAAAGCCTTCTCTTCTGCAAACACTTCTTTCCTGCAGAAAGGATCATCCTTCATGGAAGACCACGAGAATTTGTCAGAGAAACATAACACAAACACTTAGGTCAACATAATCCTACAAAAGGTTCGTGGAGCTTCTGAAGTACAAGACCTTCTGAACTGTGTCATTTCTTTGTCTTGCTCTACGTACAGTCACCAACCAGCCTTTTCCAAACCAAGCCAAGTTTAATCCTTACCACCACCAACTACAACCAGACGCACGCATTTATGCAACCCATTTGCATCCCGACTTGTCTCCTATTCATCCAAATCGTCAGACACGACTGTATGCAAATGATCCACTATCCATCTACTTTCACCTATAGCCTATGACCATCTTCCCTTATGAACATCTGACTACTGTCTGACTACATCTGACTTTAACTGCAGTTAGCAGTTTCATTGCAGTTCCGTTCCTTCTGCATCCTCATCTGCCCTTCCCACTTCCAAATCCACCGCCTTACTTCCGCACCCATCGTTCAAACCCCGCCTTACTTCCCCCCCCGTGTTTTACACCACGCCTTTCCGCCCTCCACCGCCTCCCGCCGTTCCCCTCCACCGCGCCGGGCGTCGCCCAGGTTGTGCGCCGAGGCCAAGCTCCGCAGGTGCTCGGGGCCCAGCAGCTTCCGACGGCCCTCCAGGGCCAAGCGCAGTGGGATCAGCGCCTCTTCCTGCGCTGCTTTTGGTGGTTACGTAAGCAGGGTGGCTGGTTTGGCTTGGTTTGGCTGGGGTTTGGCTGTTTGGTGTTGGTTGGTTGGTCGACCAGAAAAAAATCAAGTAGTTGCTGGTGGAAAAGGATGAGGATGGATGAAGTTCAGGCAACATTGCCTGGTCATCAGTGGCCTGAAATCACGGTAAGAAATGTTGAATGTCTTCATTAAAGCCGATCAAAGCCGACCAGGCCTAGCTAGTCGATCGGGGCTTGGCTGGACCCTGTTTCCGTCCAGGCACTTTCTCCATCTGCTCAGGGTAGGAAGCGCCCAAGGGAAACCAACATCGACATCCCAATTAAGACGTTTGTGTCCATGTCCAATCAAATATGAGTCAAACACCACCAACAACGACCTGCTAGGGGTCTACTATGCTACAGTTGATGGAAGATACTCTATCTGGAGCTGCCTCGAATACACGACCATAGATGGCGGTAAGTCTGGTCTGTCAGGTGAGGGGCCGACTCAAGCCAGTAGGTGAAATAGTCAGATAAAACATTCACTTGCCCCTGCCACCAACTGATTGCTTCGAAGTTGCTTCCTGCAAAAACGCTTCCTCAACCTGCTGTGTTCGTCATGGTCATTACTCCACAAGGTTCTTCGATGTCATTCATGGATTCCAGCAGAGGTTGAAGAACCCGAACTAGACTATCCTAGTTCGGTACCCCTGGTTACGGGTCCTAGTTCAGGTCACTATCCACCTCTGTTGGTTTGTCTCTTCCGACTCCATCACGTGTCCCACCGTGACCGTCCCGACTGTCCGCAACCGTCGTCCTTTCGCCCCGCGGAGTAGAGCGCGGTGCCCAGGTCAGCGGCTGTGGAGAGCACCTCCAGAGGTCACGTCGCCCGGTCACCTGTAGATCAGTGTAATCACCTGTGCCAACCTTGTACCTGTCCAGCTAGGCCCCTTATTTGCTGAAAAGCCATCTGTACATGACCAATGTGGTTCCAAATCCGAGGTGACCTGGGAGTTCCAAAGGGCCTTCAGACCTATACAGCAATCAAGTGGACCGTGGAAACATCAGCGGACTCCCATACGTGCCATTGACTTGGCGTGAGGTAGGTGACAATGTTCTGGAGTATTTGCTGGTCAAAATGTAAGATATCCTCCTGTTTGGTCTACCATGGCTCCCGCGCCACTCCGCGCACCTGGGGATGACTCTCACCCAACTGCTTCTGGAAGCCCTCCAAGGCGGATCTCAGCAAGGTCTCACCCTCCTGCGCTGAGGTTCGCGGGCAAAAAAAATGACGCGCCCAAAGAAAGAAACATGCGAGATTGTAGAGTTTCATGAAGGTCCCAAGCAGGCTGTCTGAATCCCAACCATTGGTCTATCCCATATGATCATTTCAACTAGGGAGATGCATGGGCCCCTCCTGCGCGGGTAAACATGTTGAGCTGTTGTGCCTCAACCAAGAATCCCAACGTCACCAAGGCTTGGGGTTTGGCTCTGTGAATTTTGGTGAACTTGCCATTTCAAGTTGCTTTACTTCAGTTATAAATTCCAATACCCAAAGCCTTTGCGGAAGGGAGAGGTTTTTGGCGCTGCGGGTGTATTTCTTTTGCACCTCAGCTCTCGCCTCTCGCCGTATGACCCTCTCCCCCTTGTAGCTTCCCCCTCTTGTACAAAAGCACTTGGACAGTCGGACAGTCAGTGAACCAGGTATATACAGTAAGGGGATCGATGAACATGTGTTCACCTAAGATCTTGAGGAAAACACCTCTGGCTCTAGCAGCTGTTTGTTACTAGTAGTAAGGTGCCTTGTTACTAGAAGCGAGGAAACTCTACCTTCCGTGGCACCTGCTCCAACTGATCACCTGCGTTCCCACCTCACCTTCGGCCGCTCGCGGGCTAGCAACAAGAGGCCCAGGTCTGCACTGGCACACAGCGATCGCGGATGGTCCGGGCCTCATGCAATGAGCTCGCGGCCACACAGCGCGGCCCGGTGCCCAGAGTGAATGAAATCCCGAACTGAAAAGGATCGAATTGCAGAAACTGTTGTTGGATATCTTTGGCGAACTCACGTCAGGTGACCCTGGAAAGGAAGAACGGAAAAAAAACCGTTTGATAAACCAACTCTTGGAACTCCCGTGCCCAGCACGGGCAAAGGGGGGAGCAAGCTAACTACTCAGAAGAGCACCTTGCCCCAAAAAAGATGTTTGGGAGATCAAGCTCTCCGCTGATGTCAGGTTTCGCTGGAAACAGCAAACATATTAAACATATGATTGGAAAATTCCTTTTAGTTCCCATGGCCGGACTTTCTCAGAGAACTGAGCTTGTTATTTCCCCATACCTTGACCAAACATGGTTTTGCAGTAAGCTTCGCCCATCGCTTGGCTGGATCCATCCGGGAAACCAAGATGAATCACACCTGGAAATCACCCATATCATACGGAAAAAGACGTTCGAACAGTCCACAGTCTGTCTCAGCTGGTGCAGCAAACACTGCCGAAACGACACCGCTAAAAAGATGAAACAGTACTCAGAGCCCTCACCAAAGTGTCGGAGGCTGCCCTGAGCGAACGACATGGATGGCGATGGCCATGGACAGAGATGGGCCTGGAGCCCCTGGAGCCCACGTTCTCCTGGTCCGCACCTTCTGTTGGATCAAGCGTGAGCTATGTTACATAGATGTAGCAGGTCTTGTGACTAACTAAGCATGATGATGGTTTTAAAACGCCTCTGAAAAGAAAGCTTCACGACATTTCACATCATTTCACTACTAGTTTACAGTGAAGGAAAACAGCTATCTCAGAGATGTAACCCGTGTCTCTGAGTCCAACAGTTCCAAAAACAAAATGCCATTGGAGTTCCAAACAATTCACTTTCCGACCCAGCAAATCACATGGATTAGTCGAATGATCATAGGAGTTCCCTCGACCGACGACCGTTCCACCATTCCACTCCCGGAATTGACCGTTCTTCCCTTGGAATCATTGTGTTGTTCTTTTTTGTTCTTGAGAAGCCGGTGGCTTCAAAAACTTTTGAGCCAACATATCCATGCCCAATAACCCAAGAACTTCGGGGTGTCTCGAACATATCTTTCGGATGTGTCTATGCCTATGCAGCAAAGTCAAATGACCGACTGCCGGTGCGTTCCCCATCGATCGACTCGACTCTCCAAAGTAAAGCTGGCTGGACGAAGACATGACCTCATCGACCTCATCATGTGCTGTGCAGAAAGAGTTCAACATGCATGCTGACACCCCAAAATTGTCAAATAAACAATTTATTGCCCAAAACTGAAAAGAAATTTAAACAATGGGGTTGTTGGGGTGTCAAGAGTTCCACCGTAAAAATTGTTATATAAATAAACAAAAACAGTTCCCTGTTCCTTTCGATCCTCTCTGCTCCTCCGACCCGTCACCCGCCGTCTCCCGTCTCGTCATCTTGTCGCGATCTCTGCGCCTCCCAAGCACGTCGGGCCAAGGGTTCTGCTTCCCCCAGATCTTCACCTGGTGGTTCGGTCGGGCAGATCCTACCTGGAACCAGTGACCGGAACCAGTGGACGCTGGGAAGATACAAGAACTAACATGCAGCTGCCGAGAGCTGAAAGGGCAGAAAAGTCTTTTGTGGACCAAGAAGAATGACTGTTGATCATGTTGAACCAAAAAAAAGAGCTGCCAGTCAGATGGTTTGGAACATCCTGGAGGGAAGACCTCCGAACAGGACCACAGCCGTGCACCAAAAGGACGCCTGCCAAGCCCTTCTATTGAGGAGGTTTAGAGTCCGGAGATCCCCTTCAGTTTCCGTTTCCTTTTTGCATCCCGAACCAGTGCTTTAGGGAGTCATTCTCAACTAAACTACATACCAATCAGTTATATTATAATCTAATTACTGTATATAACTATATAACTATATAGCTATAACAACTTTATGAACAGTGCGCCACAAGCACTGTCTTGTAAAAGAAGCCCCAATTGGCCGCAGTCTGCCGGGGTCCGTAGAACGGACTTCTGGTCCGTGCCCCGCGGTATAGTGCTGTCCCCAGCGGCGCAAATGCAGCAGCAGGCCGCTCAAATGGCTGGCAGCCGCCAACCTCAAGAGGTCGATTTCGAAACGTGGAACTCCGGTTTTGGAGGCGATTCAGCCGACAAGGTTGAGCACAAGTGCTCACTTTTCCAGGGTTTCGGCTAGCACGACAGTTCCTTCACTGCTCCTGCTGCTGCATCAGGAATCTTCTTCTTGTGGGGTGCCCTTGTAGTGATACTCACCCTTCGAACAATTCCTTAACAATTATGAGTTGCAGTTGCAGTAGCGTAATTCTAGCAAAAGAAAGGACTCTTCTGTGGAGATTGAGACTGGCCACCATTAATGTACAAGGTCTTTTGATGTCTGTCTTTTCAATGGGCTTCAAGAACATCAGCGCCATCATGTAATCTTGGGCTGAAGCCTCGATCAGCCTCTATGCTCCAGCATCAGATCAGCCACATTTCGATCAGACTTCGACCAAGAGGCGTGTCTGGGTGTTGTTTCCCCTTCACCTCATCCAAGCCTTGCAACGCTTCCCGCAGCAGGGGCTCCGCCTCCTGCCGCAACAGCTTCAGCACCCGTGGCGAGCACGAGCAAGGACGAATCGTTCGTCCAGTGGCGAAGAACCGTGGGAGAAACCCGCGTCCGAGTGATGTGAGTTTTCCGGGTTGACATGGCAAGAAAACCTCGAACATGCTGGCAACAAGGACGAATGAATGGAAGCTATGAGAGCAATCATTCGGCTCACATCTGGCCTGACAGCTCCTCAAAACTTGGCCTAAACTCCATGGTAAGATCTCCAACCAGCCACCTGCATGGATTGTGCATACATTCCAGAATCCCTCGGCGAACTGGCCGTGTTTTTCACAGGTGAACCCAACCGGCCGCTCTTTGTGAACTGGCGGACCAACAGAGCATTGGTCGATTGAGGAAACTGGGACAACAGTCGCTGTTTGTAAGCTGCTATTGGTTTTCCCTCAAGAGCTTGCCTACCTGTCAGAAAACTATCATTTGAACATGGCTACTAATTACTGGTATCACGCTTACGTACCAATTGAACCTGGGTTACTCTATCAATGATCAATTGCAAAACTATCGCAAGAACCATTATTCATCCTGCTTCTACACTCTCCCTGTTTCGTGTCTCCAGCTCTTCGACTCTCTTCCACCTGCCCGCCGCGCGTCGCGCAGTCCCGAGGCCGGTTGAGTTCTCGAAGCACCTTGGGAGCGCGCTAAGCGGCGGGTGGTGGACTCCGGTGCCATTGATTGCATGGGAGTTTAGACCAGGAATCAGGGATTAGTTTAAAGCCAGATGAAGTACAAGTGTTCATCCAAGTTTCTGCGCTCACATTCGTTGAACACAGGTCAAGACTTATATTATAGTTATAATTGATATATATATATATATCCTGCTGCCATTTCCAGACATCATCAACTGCTGCCAGTCGCCAACGTCATCGAATCAGCCCTCTTCTTGGCCATTTCGCCGTGGGACCACTGCCAGGTTCATGCCAAAGACGAGAGTCTCGGCGTTGCTGGGGCCTGACCTGGGCACCGAAGCCAAAACTCTAAGCTTCGTGGCATAACAAAGTGAACATATCCGATCGAATCCCTACACGGCGCAGGCCATGTTACTGTATCCCTTTCGGAGAGGTTGTCCAATCTCGCGCAGACCCCCACAATACTACTTGGCAGAAGCCTCTGAACGGCATCCCTGCCAAAACCACTTTCTGGACGATGAATCAACCTTTGAAGCTAGGTATAGGAAAGAATCCACTTAGCTCTCATCTTGGAAAGCGAAGGCATGACGGCCCTGCAAAACGAACTCGATCTGACCCAACCACTTCGTTGGATTTCAAGGTCGCCATCTTGGATTTGCTGTCCAGGAAAAACAAAACCATTCCCCAGAAGGGTATTGACTCATAAGGAAAATCAAAGTCATCCGATCCGCAAAAAGAAGAACAGTTCATCCCATGTTCCTCCAGCTAACCGGTCCGCCAAGCCACCGGCTTCGGCTGCCTTCCCACGCGCGGCGGACCTGTGTCTCTGCTTCTTGAAACTGCCCTCGGCTGTTCCTGAGAAGCGCAGCTCGCCAAGAAGGCGAAACTCGTTACTTCGACAGTGGTGGCTTCTATACGCCGATCGAACATCCTCCGGCTTCGTGACATTCTGAAACCACCGCCCTGGGTATTCCACGTGTGCATCAGGCATGACTGGGCCTGACTCGAAGGAATAAGTGTGTTGTACAGTTGTGCAACATGTGACAAGGCTATTTTAGAATAATGCATATGTGAAAGCCCATGTCCAGTCTCGTCGCCATATACTTGTTGTAAATACCAAGCATAGGATTCAGGGTGCATGTTGTCCCTGTTTGGAGGCATCTCTTCTCTCAAAGCTCCAGGCTGACTGAAGTGGAAAGCCATCAGCAAAACAGATCAGTGCCATCAGCTAGTAGACCTTCGCTGAATCGCTATAAAGATTCTGTTGTTTTCTTACGAAATCCCACATGAAGGACTCCGGAAGACGCTTGATCTTCCACCAAAACCGACCTTTTGCCGACGGCTCCAGCCCCCCTGACCACTGGATCAGCAGGGTCATTCGTCGGAACAAATGCCACTTTGGACCCACAGCCAGGTCCTCCTAAAACACCATTGACATCCTCACGCGGCTAGGCCAGGAGCTACTAGTAACGTCCTTGCTCCTAGTAGCGATGCCCTTTGCTCATAGTAGCTTCTTGCAGCCAGGTCCTCCCAAAACGACATCCTCACGCGGCTGCCGGGCGGTGCCGGGCGTCAAGAGCATTCCCAGGTTGGATCGCGCGATCAACGTCTCCGCATGCTCCGCGCCCACCACCTGGTCAACATCCACCCAGTCAGTGTGGGACACCAGTGCACGGAAATCGTGTAAAGAAGCCATCGACAGGAAACCGTGACCTCGAAACATGTGGAAAAGTGAAGTGCGTAAGGGAACATGCACTGGAAACAGTTTTAAAGCATTACAAACCGGAATATTCAAAAAGAAAAAACCGGTCTAAAACTGCCATCTCGTGCCCGATCATCTCACGCCTCCTCCAAACCGGTCACCGCGCGTCGCAGCAAGACCTCGGCCGCCTCGAGCTGCCCCGCGGCGCTCAGCACGCGGCCCAGGTGGTCCGCACAGATCAGGGTGCCCACGTTCTTGGGACCCCAATCCGCCTCACCGAGTCGGGCACGACTCGGGCGCAGGGCGCCAGTGGCGCACGTCCGGCGCCAAGAGAACCCTGTGAAGTGAAAGACTCCGGGGTAGCGGTAATGGTGTGCTCCCCGGGGGGGTGTTTGGTATGATCCAGAATGTACAAACTATGCAAACCGTTCCACCTCACGAAAAGGATTCGAGGACTTGCTGGAGAATATTTGGGGTGGTGGGGGTTTTGGGAGTGGGATATCGCTCTTGAAATTGTTTATGGTATTCTGCAGTCGATGTTGGATGCCAAGTACCAGATAGATTTCACCAGTTGGATACTACTACCAGGGTCTCTATATAGTAACTGATACTTGGCTGCGTCTCCCTAGTAGCAGTCTGCTAGTTCCGGATATATTGAGAACTTCTGCTACATCTCTTGATGTGTGGTAATTAATGCTTATGCTTTTGAGGTGCCATTGGTTGATATCCGGCCAGCGAAGTGCATGCTGGCCGATGTTCTGATTGCCACATGGGTGAAGCTCCGAAAAGACATGGCCTCAGCCCATTCCAGTGCCAGGCGTGCCAAATCCAAGACCGCCGGCGCCACATACCTCCGCTCATGAGCGGTCTGCAGGTCCGACAACGCTTTCAACTGCGTCCCCTTCCGTTCAACCATGACCATGGATCAGACTTCCACACAAAGCACACGGGAAAACAAAAACAATGATAAAATGGCCGGTCCGGTCGGAGTTGAGCCAGGATCCAAGGCCCTAAGCCTATTCCCATCTATTCCCTAACCTTGCGTTCGACCATTGAATTGGTTGACCTGGTTTTGCCGTTGATGATGGTTCGGGATTCGAATCTTCAAATCCAGGGTGGGCCAAGAATCCTGCAATAAACCCACCTGATATGGACATGATTGATTGAGCAATCACTAGGCAATCAACAGTCGACCTTAGAGGATCAGTTGTGGATCTCTTTTGAGGAATCAGGTTGAAGTAGTTGCTGAAGATGTTGAGTAAGTAAGAGTAAATCATGTGGGAGCCTCCACATCAGTAATGGTTCCCACGGGCTTCGTCTACGACACGTGTTGAAGGAAAAATGCCACCAGGGCGGCATGTTGTTTTGCTGAGCAGCGTAGCATAATTAGCGGCATGGCATGTCAAAAGACTCTCCTGAAAGCCTCAAGTGCTGCAGAGATGCTCATTCTTGCAGATCGAGCATGTCAGTTGCGTCCATTCTCTTCGGGCTAGGAATTCCTGCAGCGGCAGGAGAAAAATGAGCCCATCAGTGTCGGGTCACAAACCTGTAAAATGTCTGAAAATCGGTTCCCTAGTCCTTTTAGCAGTGGACACAATATAGTGGCACCCAAACGATCCCTAAAGAGTGCTAAAAATTAGAAAGATCTACAAACCTAAAGAAATATGTGTATATATACATATTAGTGGGTATATCAGTAACAGTTGATGATGATTGTTAGTAATTTCCCCCCCAAATAGTGATATTATGTTACCGATTGTTTCTGGAAATTGCACATACCTTATATTTACTTATAAAATATGATATACAGTAGTTCCGGAGAATAGGCCTGAGCTTCTAGCAATTATATATAAGATCTGGCGATGTCAATGAACTTCAGAAGCACTTCCGATCTGTGTTTGAACATCAAGAATTTTAGAAGCATCAATCCATATCAATCCCCTTCCGCTGATTTCCGGCCAGGCCCCTACCTCAGATTTCCGGCATGTTCACACGGCGTCACGGTCTCCTTCTTCAAGCACTCGAGGTGCGCAAAGCGCAGGCTGCCGCGACAGGGGCATGGCGCCAACAACTCCCCTGGCATGAGGCAGATCCGACATGCCTGTGCCAGCCAGGCGGGGCCAGGGGGTTTGGATGGATGGGTGCCATCAACAACCAGGGTGAAAAACTTCGAGTGCAAACCAAAGGAGGCCCTCTTTGGTGACCCCGGACCGTGCAGCATTGATCATCATTGACCCTCGTTTTGGCAATCAGTACACGCCATTCATGAAGTGATGGTAGCTGGGACGGGCCCGTGCGAGCAAGGCGCCAGATGTTTGCCATATTTTCCCACCAGGGTTGGTGAGTGGGAGCCAACCCTAGCTTTTCTGTTCAGAGCAGGTTAGCAGGTGATTCTTCTACTTGCCAAACTTCCAGAACAAAGGGAATCAAGATGGAACTCTCTGCCAAAGGGTCCAAAGCATCACATAACCAAAACAAACCTCAGTTATCCTCAGTTGTTATTCGTCAACTATAGCCTATAGATGCCTATGGGTTGTGTGGTCATTTAGGCCAACAAAATTGCATGGACACTAATTGTTGCATGCTTTTGCTTATATAACTTCGGTTGCCGAGCCCAGGGCCCTCGTCGCCCCCTGCCCTCGCCCCTTCAACCTGCCCCGACTCGGCCTGCCCATCGTCGCTGCGCGGCTCCATCAGCGCGTGGGCGGGGTGTTTCCGTGGCCGCCCGTGTCGAGGACGTGATGGATATGATCGCAATTGATTAAAGATAAAAAGTTGTGTTCCAACACTCGTTCTTTCAGACTGCTCGAGAACCAAATGCTGGTATGTCTGGAGATGTCTTGGCAGCTTCAGACCTTATCTGTTGTGAGGCTTTTATTAGGTGAGGAGCCAGGTGTCAGCTGCCTCCCAGGGACGAGTATAGAGTTATATGGAGTGTGGTATCCTCCTCAAATGCAGGTGCTGCAGTCCGCGTCCAAGTCCGCTTTGAGCGTCCGACCTGCGTGGCACGGACATGTGCGATGCGCAATGCCATGAGCAATCTTTCAGGCAATCTGAATCTCTCTATGAATGCTGCTCATGTTCAGAGCTTGAGCAGCAACGAGCATGGCAAACAAGGACTGACTGGTCGAGACCTCTGCCATGGGCCTATTTGGGATGCATCTTTGCCACTCCCGAAACGTCTCCCGAATCCGAGAAATATGCTTGTGACCCCTGGCGCGGTTCGGATCTATCACATGATCTTTCCTAGTAAAAATTGAATTCCAAAACCTCCAAATTGAAGTTGGTCAGGTACCATGATCTTTCGTAATATATGTTGGATCAATCCAATGGATCACATGACCATCTACCTAGTATCCGAGATTAAAAAAAAGGTGCCAATCGCTCTGTGATCCAAGAGATCCCATCTCCTCGTAGCGCACAGAGCACGCACGTCCGTGCACGGCAGAACTCTGAGCACCTGATCTAAGACTCGCAGCTAGTCGACGGCCCGCCGCTACCTGGGTGAGCCGTAGCTGGACGAGGGCTTGGATGTGTCTCGTAAACAGAAAGCCTAGGGCCTAGATTGAAAAAAAGTGCTTTAACCAAGTACCAACATCTAGAACCATGGATGAGTCAAAACAAATTCGATATTGCAATTAATATTAAGGCCCTTAAGGCAATGCATCCAATTTGGGCAGGGTGTCCCAACATGGTTACTTCACTGTGGATCGCTCCAGGATCGCTCCAGCACTTTCATTGGACACCAATCGAGAAAGAAAGCAATTGCCCGTGGGTCATGGCACCAGGCTACCGACCAGTTGACCTACCTGGAAGGTCAAGTGGGCCAGGGCTCCAGGTTTTGATCCATCACCACCAGCTTCTGTTGGGCGACCAAGGTGTCATCCTCGGCCCAAAAATGGGGCCCGATGACCACCCGTGGCATGCCGTACACCCGGAACCCCGATGACCACCCGTGCACCCGTTTTTGAGAGCTCATGTGTTCCGGAGCTAGACGACTGCACCATGACAAGACAAGACCCAGACCGGATCCACAAGGTACGACTGCGCCCTCTGTGGATCCATAGGGTCAAAGAACTCGCAGAGGTCGTGCCGAAAGCAGGCCGTGCCCCGCGCAAGCGCGGGACCCGTTGCGCGGGCCCGTTTCAGCCTTCCGCACGACCCAAAAAACGGTCACCGGTCACCGGATGTCTCCGAGATGCTGAGCTCGGGAGGTCTCCGAGGGAGAAGTGAAATCCTCCATGCACAGATGGTCTGTTCGAAGCGTGGCCGTCGCGGCCCGCGGATGAGCATCAAGACTCGCCGGCCCGAACTCGCGGCCCGTGTCACAAGGAAGCATCGAAAAAATGGTACCAGTCTTAACAAAGAAACAAAGACAACAAACCGACTGACTGGCTTGGCCTTGAGAATATCTTCCACCAATCCTCCAATCTGGGGTCCGTGGCAGGCTCTTCACTTGAAAACATGATGATGTTCAAAAACAAAAATACCTTGAGTACGTCCCATGGTATTGATCTGGAGCCCCCTTTTCACTTCTGGGTGGTCCTTCCCCCCCAAAAAAAAGCGAAGCGCTTCTGGATCCCCCGAAGGCGACGATGATCTTCCTGGTGGAGATGAATCTTTCGATGAATCACAGGTGAGTCTGGTCACTAGTGAACTCTCCATTCCGTGTGAAACGGCTTATCTGCTTACTGTGATATGATACGAATTGATACGGTATTGTATGGTAATGATATGCATGTCATTGGTAGGCAAATGTAGGCAACGTCTGGGCCCCGCATGGTCCAGTTGCCGCCAGCTGCAGGAGGTCCGTCCTGGATGGAACATCTCCTCCTGCGGCTGCACGCTTGTGGAAGGGTGATTTCATGTGAAGGGCTGCACCGGTGCAAGCAAAAATGAAACATGGAATCTGAAAATGAACCTTGGGAAGACTGGCTTCCTCTACAAACCGGTGGCTTTCAGGTTCCATGTTAAAAGGTAAAACGCAGGGAAGACTAGCTTTGGGAGTTCTGGATGTGCTTGAATTCGACGACCCCTCGCAAGTTCTCCTGGAGCGGATGAAATCTCGGCCACCTGCCACGTAGCGACAGGTAAGTTCACCCGCTCACATGTTCAAAGATGACTGATCAAGGTAGCAAAAAGGGTTTACATTTGTTTCTGTTCCACTGTCTCTTGTTGGAGGTTGGGGTGACCAGTGCCAGATCCAGTGTCAGGCTTGGATATGGGGTGAATACTTGCTCCCCTATGTCCTGAAAAATGGAAACACCAACGAACACATCGGGATAGTCCCAATACCATGTCGCTTGCCCTTCCAGGTAGGTCAATCAAGATATCCTGATATCCTGCTTCTTGACCCACAATCACAAAACCTCAGAACGGCACCCGTCTAAGACCTCAGGGATCCCAGCTCTGAATCCTCCGTCTCATTCAGCTCGTCCAATCGCCGTGCAGAGCTCCCCTCAGGTGCAAAGGGCCCGGAGCGTAATTGCGTAGGGCAAAGCTCCGTTCGTAGCGTCCGACCGTTCCGTTCGTAGTACGGCCAGGAGCCCCGTTCGTAGCGTCCTTGCTCCGTTCGTAGCGATGCCCTTTGCTCCTAGTAGTTTCTTGTTCCTGGTAGATAGTAAGGCCAGGAGCTACTAGTAGCGTCCTTGCTCCCAGTAGCGATGCCCTTTCTGAATGATCGCCCAAATTAAATGGGCCTTTTGGGAAGGCTCAAGGGCTCCGCTTCACAGCTGTTCTTGGTACCACTTCTGCTCACCAAAAGGAGACAACGATGGAAGACTGGGGAACATGTTTAGAGTCTTCACTTGGGGCCTCGTGTGTGAACAGAGGCTCTCCTCTCCCACTTGGCAGTTCTGCAAGAGATACGTACTTGGGGGGGTGCAGAAAAAAAGGATCCAAAGTCGCAGAATGTTTCGGTCCCACCAGTGGATGTCTGAAAGAGATTCAATTCCAATTGTACCCTTCTCCAAACTCACTTGTGCCTAATTGGACCGCATGAATGAAGGAATGTGCCAAATTGTTTGTATTTGGTAAACGCTCTTTTCTGTGGTGCCCTCTCATGGGACCAATCGACCAGCATCGAGCATCACTCTACATGCCTGTCGTCTGGGTGCCCGAGCGCTGCAATGCCAAATCTTGGGATCCTGTCGGACTGCGGGTGGTCGGCGACTCCCATGGTGGACTCCCATCCGAGGTGAGGGCACCTTAGGCGTCCCAAAAAGAGCCGACCAAGAGTATCACTGATTATACCAAGACCATCCAGGTATGGAATAACTTACTTGCATTAGGGTCATACTATGTCATAGAGTCATACTCATACATAGGGTAAAATGTATACAACTATTCCATACATGGAGTGTCCATAGAAAGTCAGAAACTCATTGTCCGGGTGGAATATTGGATATTGGTTGCAGCTTCTTGATTGTACCACTGTGGACCACTGGTCATCACTGGGCTCTCGAAAGCTGTCGAACCAGTTGAAGCTTGTCAGTGACATGTCATCAAGTCCTCCAGACGGCGCCCTCCAAACGGTCCAAAATTCAGTAGAAACCCCGTCGTGAAAGCCCGAGAATCGTGGCGCAATTCGCGCACCTGGCAAAGCAAATTTCCAGCTCGAATGACATAAGGCTTTGCCCGATTGCCATAAAGCCAGCAAAACCTCAAGAGGGTTGCACAGAATGGTGCATGATCATGCCAGCGCGTGTGAGTCAAACGAGTCAAAATCCACTGCATAATTTATGTATTGTGTTAACTGGTACGGAGTTTTTGCAAAAGGAGTGGATGTTTGATCAAACGCAGCAAGAGATCAAATCCATTCATCTATACTATACTCCTTTGCGGCTACTTACCAAACAAACTCTTGCAATGTCAATCTTCCATGCAAAAAAAAGTCACTTGCCACTCTCAGATCCGTGCAACGCTAAGCTTAACATAATCACTCCCAAAGAAAGCGAGGAGATGTAGAAGGCCCGGATCAACGACCTGCACCGTCAACGAAGGGACAACCACCGGACACTCGACCCGCCGCCTTTGGTTCGGGCCACTCGACGGACAACCGGTCGTGGCTTTGGAGGAAAAGCG